CCCATATTTGCAAGCAGCTGCTTCAAGGCACTTGTCGGGACCCAAAGGTGCCTTCTGCACTGCAGAGTTAATGCATTTTGACGCCATTTTTACTGCTATGGTAGTTTTGCAACGCACATACATATACATACATATATACACATATATTCTCTAATATATATTATTAAATTAAATCTATCTATATAAATAAAAATGTAATGTTCGTTTGTGGGATTGACATAACTCAGCGGCTTAATCATTGGATGAATTGACATGAAATTTTGACACAAGACACCTAACAATCCAATGAGTGTTCATCACCCCTAAAAATACAACCCTCCAGCAGAATGGACTTAAAACCCCCCAAATACATACACACACACACACACACACACATATACACACATACACTCTTATACATATACACATGCACACATACATACACATACATATATATATATATACCCAAGTACACACAAATATACACACACATACATCTACATACACACACACATATATACATATGCACATGCACACACAAATATACACATGCACACATACATACACACATATGCATATAGACAAGCACACATATACACAATATACATATACAAATATATACACAAAAGTATATACACACATATATACACATCTACACACACACACATATATATACACACATACACTCTTATACATATACACATGCACACATACATACACATACATATATATATATACCCAAGTACACACAAATATACACACACATACATCTACATACACACACACATATATACATATGCACATGCACACACAAATATACACATGCACACATACATACACACATATATAAACACAAATATGCATATAGACAAGCACACACATATATACAATATACAAATATAAACGCACAAATATATACACACATATATACACATCCGCACACACATATATATACACACACATACACTCTTATACATATACACATGCACACATATTATTATTTTTATTATTAAACTTTATTTGTACCCCGCTAGTATCTCCCGAAGGACTCGATGCGGCTTACAAATGCCAAGGCCTCAATACACAACATAACAATACACCTAAAGCAAATTAAAACAATTAAAGCAGTATTAAAACAACAAAATATATATACTCAAGCACACATAAATATACACGCACATATATACATATGTACATGCACACACAAATATACACATGCACACATACATACACACATACATAAACACAAATATGCATATAGACAAGCACACACATAAACAAAATATACAAATTTAAACACACATATATACACATATGCACGCACATATATACACCTTTCTCTCTCTCTCTCTCTCTCTCTATATATATATATATATATATACACACACTAAACACAAGTATACAGACTTGGACACAGCAACATGTGGCAGGGGACAGCTAATATTTTATTTATGTGTGTGTTCTATAAATCTATACACGTAATAAAAGTGAAAATATGTAAACGTGTATGTGGCTGGGGTGTCCATTTGCACAGACAAGCTCCTGCCTCCACAAACAACTATAACTCCCACTACTCAAGAGAAACCAAGGACATTGCAGATTATAATGAGTGCCTGCCAATGTCCCCCATAAACACCACACTGCCCACCACCCAAAGTGAAGGCTTCCATTCGGAGACCATTTCATCCTAGATTTTCTGTGTTTCCTCCACCACAGACATCCCAGTGTCTTCCTCTCTTTATTGGTGTGGAATTTGCATGACCCCGCCCACTGACTCTCCCTTAACCCTTTCCAATAGCGCACAGCAAACAGAGGAATTGATCAGCAACTGAACATACTAGAGAGAATTCACCACGATTTAATGGAGTTGTAGGTCCTGGGATGTATAGTTCACCTGTGATTTAAGAGCACTCTGAACTCCACCAAATGATTGATCTGGTACGAATTTGACATACAGAACCTCCATGACCAACAACACATACTGGAGGCCTTTGGAGGGATTCATGGGAGTTATAGTTCACCTACTTCCAGAGTGCACTATAAACCCAAACAATGTTGGATCTGGACCAAACTTGGCATGCATAACTGACGTGCCCCAATTTGAATGCTGGTGGGTTTTGTGGGGAATTGGCCAGGACATTTTGGAGTTGTAAGTACTGGGATGTATAGTTCACCTGCAATCAATAAGCACTCTGAACTCCACCAAAGATGGAATTGGACCAAACTTGGCACACAGAGCCCCCATGACCAGCAAATAATACTGGAGGTCTTGGGAGAAATTCACCTTGATTTGGGAGAGTTGTAGTTCACCTACATCCAGAGAACACTGTGAACCCAAACAGTAGTGGATCTGGGCCATACTTGGCACACAGACCTGATACACCGAAATTTGAATGCTGGTGGGCTTTCAGGTAAATTGGCCTGGGCATTTTGGAGTTGATACTGGGATTTATAGTTCACCTGCAATCAATAAGCACTCTGAACTCCACCAAAGATGGAATTGGACCAAACTTGGCACACCGACCCCCATGACCAGCAAAAAATACTGGAGATCTTTGGGAGAAATTCACCTTGATTTGGGAGAGTTGTAGTTCACCTACATCCAGAGAACACTGTGAACCCAAACAGTAGTGGATCTGGGCCATACTTGGCACACAGACCTGATACACCGAAATTTGAATGCTGGTGGGCTTTCAGGTAAATTGGCCTGGGCATTTTGGAGTTGATACTGGGATTTATAGTTCACCTGCAATCAATAAGCACTCTGAACTCCACCAAAGATGGAATTGGACCAAACTTGGCACACCGACCCCCATGACCAGCAAAAAATACTGGAGATCTTTGGGAGAAATTCACCTTGATTTGGGAGAGTTGTAGTTCACCTACATCCAGAGAACACTGTGAACCCAAACAGTAGTGGATCTGGGCCATACTTGGCACACAGACCTGATACACCGAAATTTGAATGCTGGTGGGCTTTCAGGTAAATTGGCCTGGGCATTTTGGAGTTGATACTGGGATTTATAGTTCACCTGCAATCAATAAGCACTCTGAACTCCACCAAAGATGGAATTGGACCAAACTTGGCACACCGACCCCCATGACCAGCAAAAAATACTGGAGATCTTTGGGAGAAATTCACCTTGATTTGGGAGAGTTGTAGTTCACCTACATCCAGAGAACACTGTGAACCCAAACAGTAGTGGATCTGGGCCATACTTGGCACACAGACCTGATACACCGAAATTTGAATGCTGGTGGGTTTTCAGGTAAATTGGCCTGGATATTTTGGAGTTGATACTGGGATTTATAGTTTACCTGCAATTAACTAGCATTCTGAACCTCACCAAAGACGGAATTGGACCAAACTTGGCACATTGAGCCCCAATGACCAGCAAAAAATACTGGAGGTCTTTGGGAGAAATTCACCTGGTAAATTGGCCTGGGCATTTTGGAGTTGATACTGGGATTTATAGTTCACCTGCAATCAACTAGCATTCTGAACGTCACCAAAGATGGAATTGGGCCAAACTTGGCACACAGCGCTCCCATGACCAACAGAAAATACTGAAAGGTTTTGGTGGGCATTGACCTTCTGTTTGGGAGTTGTAGTTCACCTACATCCAGAGCGCACTATGAAGTCAAACCATGTTGGATCTGGACCAAACTTGGCATGTATACCTGATGTGCCCCAGTTTGAATCCTGGTGGGCTTTCAGGTAAATTGGCCTGGGAATTTTGGAGTTGATACTGGGATTTATAGTTCACCTGCAATCAATTACCATTCTGAACGTCACCAAAAATGGAATTGGGCCAAACTTGGTACACAGAGCTCCCATGACCAACAGAACATACTGAAAGGTTTTGGTGGGCATTGACCTTCTGTTTGGGAGTTGTAGTTCACCTACATCTGGAGCGCACTGTGGATTCAAATAATGATGGATCTGGACCAAACTCGGCACACAGACCTGATACACCGAAATTTGATGATTGGAGAGATTTGGGGGGGACTGGCTTTCCTTTCTGGGATTTGTAGTTCATGGTGACCTCCACCAATGATGGAACTAGACCAAAATTGGCACACAGAACCCCCAGGACTAACTCAACCTACTGGAAGGGGTTGGAGGGGACTGACTCACCATAGTGGGAGTTGTAGTTTGCCCTAAAACCAGAGAGCACACTGAACTGGAGGGGTTTGAGGGGACTGACTCACCATAGTGGGAGTTGTAGTTTACCCTAAAGCCAGAGAGCACACTGAACCCCACCGATGATGCTTTTAGAGCAAACTTGCCCAACATAACAAACTTTAAGTGCAAATGGAATTTTTTGCAGTTAACCTGGCATGATGAGAGTTGTAGTTCACCCACAATAAACGATTATATAATAATAATAATAATGATAATAAATTATAATTTGTACATTTATGTGTTATATATATTATAAAAATAATAATTATAACGTATTATATATAAAATAAAAATAATAAACTTATAATTTATTGTGTGTGTATGTGTGTGTGTGTGTATATATATATATAATAAAATTATAATTTGTACATTTATGTGTTATATATATTATAAAAATAATAAACTATTATAATGTATTATATATAAAATAAAAATAATAAACTTATAATTTATTTTGTGTGTGTGTATATATATATATATATAATAAAATAAATTATTATAATTGATTATAGGTAATAAAATACTATTATAACGTATTATATATTACATTATAATAAAAATAAACTTATAATTTATTATTATATATTTTTGTATTCTCTCTCTTTCTCTAATAATGAAATAAATAAAAAGCAAGTTATAATAATACATAAATAGCTTGTACAGAAATACACGATCCGAGTCATTGGAACAGTGGATAAGTGAAGCCCTGTATATCAAGTTCTGTGGATACGGAAGGTTGTACTGTGCATATATATAGAGAGAGAAAGAGAGATATAGATATCTATCTCACGTTCTTGTCTCTTTTCTTTCTTTCTTTCTTTCTTTCTCTCCGCAGTCCCTGGACGGCTTTGTGTTTGTGTTGAACCAAGAGGGAAAATTCCTTTACATCTCGGAGACGGTGTCTATTTACCTGGGGCTCTCGCAGGTAGGAGCCGTGTGTGAGCTGTGTACTAAAACCTGAATAATGCATGCGCAGAGGTTGGAAATGCAATGTATTAACAAAAAAAAGAGAGGCCCCACTCTATAGGGCCAGATGTGCAGCGCATGAGTCATGCGGACGGTCGGGTTGTGCTGAGAATCGGCAAGGAGATCGTCTGCGGCGGTTCCGAGGCGGAAGACGTGCCGTCGAGAAAAGAGAGGGGAGGGGAGAGATAATAAGATACACTTGAGGACCTGCATCTTGATGAGAGCAATTAGGGGTGGATGGGGATGGCCATCTGTCAGGAGGGCTTTGGTTGTGTTTTCCCACATGGCAAAGGTTTGGACTGTATAGCTCTTATGATTGAGATAGAGAATAATCAATAGATAGATAGATAGATAGATAGATAGATAGATAGATAGAGAGAGAGAGAGAGAGAGATAGATAGATAGATATGGTTGAAAGAGAGAGGATAAATAGATACAATTAAGAGATAGATAATAGATAGATAGATAATGGTTGAGAGAGAGAGGATAGATAGATGATGGATGGATGGATGGATGGATGGATGGATGGATAGATAGATAGATAGATAGGGTTGAAAGAGAGGATAAATAGATACAATTAAGACAGAGATAATAGATAGATAGATAGATAGATAGATAGATAGATAGATAGATATGGTTGAGAGAGAGAGGATAGATATATGATAGATAGATATAGATAGATAGATAGATAGATAGATAGATAGTTGAAAGAGAGAGGATAGATAGATAGATAGATAGATAGATAGATAGATAGATAGATAGATAGATAGAGTGAAAGACAGAGGCATAGATAAATAGAGAGAGATAGATAGATAGATAGATAGATAGATAGATAGATAGATAGATAGATAGATAGATAGATAGATAGATAGATAGATAGAGATAGATATGGTTGAGGGAGAGACTAAATAGATATGGTTGAGAGAGAAGATAGAAAGATAATGATTGAATGAGAGAATAGACCAATAGATAAATAGATAGATATGGTTGAGACAGAGAATAGATAGATAGATAGATAGATAGATAGATAGATAGATAGATAGATAGCTATGACTGAAAGAGAGATAATAGATTGATTAGTTGATTGATATGATTGAAAGAGAGAGAATATATAAATAGATATGATTGAGAGAGAGAACGGATTTATATTGAGAGAGAATAGAAAGATAAATAGATAGATATGGTTGAGAGAGAGAATAGATAGATAGATTTGATTGGGTGAGAATAGATAGATAGATAGATAGATAGATAGATAGATAGCTATAATTGAAAGAGAGAGAATAGATAGATAGATAGGCAGGATTGAAAGAGAGAATATATAAATAGATATGATTGAGAGAACGGATATATATTGAGGATAGATAGATAGATAGATAGATAGATAGATAGATAGATAGATAGATAGATAGATAGATAGGGTTGAGAGAATAAATAGACAGGTAGATATGATTGAAAGAGAGAGAATAGATAGATTGATATGACTGAAAGGGAGAATAGATAGATATATAGCTGGATGGATGGATATTATCAAGAGAGAGACTGGATGGATGGATGGATGGATGGATAGATAGATAGATAGATAGATAGATAATGATTGAGAATCGATAGATAAATAGATAGATATGGTTGAGAGCGAGAATCGATAGATTTGATTGGGAGAGAATAGATAGACATGGTTGAGAGAGATAATTAATAGATAGATAGATAGATAGATAGATAGATAGATAGATAGATAGATAGATAGATACTGTAGATATGATTGAGAGAGAATATATAAATAAATATGATTGAGAGAGAGAATGGATTTATATCGAGAAAGAATAGATAGATAGTTAAATAGATAGATATGGTTGATTGATATGACTGAAAGAGAGAATAGATATATAGATGGATGGATATTATTGAAAGAGAGACTGGATAGATAGATAGATAGATAGATAGATAGATAGATAGATAGATAGATAGATATGATTGAAAGAGAGAATAATTGATATGATTGAAAAAGAGAGAATAGATAGATAGATGATAGATAGATAGATAGATAGATACTGTAGATATTATTGAGAGAGAGGTTAGATAGATAAATAAATATGGTTGAGAGAGAGAGAGAATAGAAAAATAGATATGATTGGGAGAGGATAGATAGATAGATAGATAGATAGATAGATATGATTGAGAGAGAAGTCACAATCAAAGCCCTCCCGACAGATGGCCATCCAGTCTCTGTTTAAAAGCTTCCAGAAAAGAAGAACCCATTGCACTCCAAGGCAGACTATATTCCACTAGATTTGGAAGTCATCTAATCCAACCTCATTCTGCCAGGCAGAAAGACACAATCAAAGCCCTCCTGACAGATGGCCATCCAGCCTCTGTTTAAAAACCTCCAGAAAGAAGAACCCATTGGACTCCACTAGATTTGTAAGGGATCCCTAAAGGTTATCTAATACAACCTCATTCTGCCAGGCAGGAAGATACCATCAAAGCTCTCCTGACAGATGGCCATCCAATCTCTGTTTAAAAAACCTCCAGAAAAAGAAGAACCCATTGGACTCCAAGGCAGACTATATTCCACTAATTGGAAGGGATCCCCAAAAGTCATGTAATCCTATCTCATTCTGCCAGGCAGAAAAACACAATCAAAGCCCTCCCAACAGATGGCCATCCAGCCTCGTGGAGGGGAAAAGTGGGGTATAAATAAACATGATAATGAGGATGATGATATACCTGGCATATCTTTGCCTCCAAATGCAGAACCTTCCCTGCATCTTCCCTTCTTCACCTGTCTGGTCTTGGGTCTGTTTGGCTGTTCATTTTCACCTCCTTTGCTGCATGAATAATTAATCGTAGCAATTATCTGGCTACACAGGAAGCGATTGCACTGATAATTGATGATCGGAGGCTCTTCCAAGCCATGATCGATTGGTTGCAGAGGAAGAGAGGAGTGAGCCAAAGGAGATGCATCCTTTTTGGGATTGCTCTCCTAATGTTTAGCATGGAAAGGGTCAGAGATCTCCTAATTCCTAGCATGGAAAGGATCCAGCATCCTTCTTCCTTACTCTAATAAAAAGGAAGGGATGATGAACTCTTCCCGTGCCAGGCTTTAGAGGAAAGGAAGGGACACTTCACCTTTGGAATGCCAAGCATTAAAGAAGGGGGTGCTTTTTTAATATTACTAGATGTACCCGCCTTACGTTGCTGTGACCAACCTTCTGTCCCTCTTTCCTTCCCTCCCTCCTTCCCTCCCTCCCTCCCTTTTTTTCTTTCCTTCTCTCCTTCCTTCCTTCTCTTCCATTTCCTTCCCCCGTTTTCTTTCCCTTCCTCTTTCTCTCCTTCCTTCCTTCCTTCCCTCTTTCCTTCCTTCCCTTTTTCTCTCTCCTTCCTTCTTTCTCTTCCTCTTCTCTTCCTTCCCCCCTTTTCTTTCCCTTCCTCCTCTTTCTTTCCTTCCCTCCTTCTTTCCTTACCTTTTTTCTTTCCTTCTCTCCTTTCTTCCTTTTCTTCCTCTTCCCTTCCTTCCCCCCTTTTCTTTCACTTCCTCTTTCTCCCCTTCCTTCCCTCTTTCCCTCCTTCTTTTTTCTTTCCTTCTCTCCTTCCTTCCTTCTCTTCCTTTTCCTTCCCCTTTTTCTTTCCCTTCCTCTTTCTCTCCTTCCTTCTCTTCCTCTTCCCTTCCTTCCCCTTTTCTTCTCTTTTTTCTTTCCTTCTCTCCTTCCTTCCTTCCCTTTTTCCTTCCTTCCCTTTTTTCTTTTCTCTCCTTCCTTCCTTCCTTCCTTCCTTCCTTCCTTCCTTCTCTTCCTCTTCCTCTTCCTCTTCCTCTTCCTTTCCCCTTTTCTTTCGCTTCCTCTTTCTCTCCTTTCTTCCTTCCCTCTTTCCTTCCTTCCTTCCTTCCCTTTTTTCTTTCCTTCTCTCCTTCCTTCTCTTCCTCTTCTGTTTTTGCATATATGTGTGTGTGTGTGTGGTTTTGTGCATGCGTTGTAATGTATTTTTTATTTTTTTTGGCTTTTTAAGTCCCGTCTGCTGTGTTTTTCAGTTTGTTTATGAGTGATGGTCACTTGTTGGCCTGACAGGTGTCTTGTGTCCAAATTTGGTGTCAATTCATCCAGTGGTTTTTGAGTTATGTTAATCCCACAAACGAACATTACATTTTTATTTATATAGATTAGATTTAATGTGTATATGATTGACATATATTTACACACACACACACACACACACACACACACGGAGCCCCGATGACGAAGTGGGTTAAACCACTGAGCTGCTGAAGTTGCTGATCGAAAGGTCACAGGTTTGAATCCAGGGAGCGGGGTGAGCTCCCACTATTAGCCCCAGCTTCTAGTAACCTAGGAGTTTGAAAACATGCAAATGTGAGTAGATCAATAGGTACTGCTCCAGCTGGAAGATAACGGCACTCCATGCAATCATGCTGGCCATTGATACACCCACACACACATATATGTATACACACATCCAGACATATATATATATATACAGAAATACATACACACATGAGCCCCTGGTGGCACAGTGGTTTAAACCGCTGAGCTGCTGAACTTGCTGACCGAAAGGTCACAGGTTTGAATCCGGGGAGCGGGGTGAGCTCCTTCTGTTAGCCCCAGCTTCTGCCAACCTAGCAGTTTAAAAACATGCGTGTTCGTTTTCCACTCCCTTTGCAGGTTTATGATCCCTTTACCAGTTCTTGACTCCTGGCAGGTGGTCCTTGTGACATAAGTTCCAGTGAATCCTTTGGGTCACAGAGTTGTGCCTCTGTTTGTAGTCTGTCTGTGCGATTTTCTTGCAGCAGCTGAAGATAAGATCCACGGTTTCATCAGCTTCCTTGCACAGTCTGCATTTTGAGTCATCAGCTGATTTTTCAATCCTGGCCTTTATTATTATTATTATTATTATTATTATTATTATTATTTCATATCAGGAGTGACTTGAGAAACTGCAAATCGCTTCTAGTGTGAGAGAATTGGCTGTCTGCAAGGAATTGCCCAGGGAATTATTATTATTATTATTATTATTATTATTTCATGTCAGGAGTGACTTGAGAAACTGCAAATCGCTTCTGGTGTGAGAGAATTTGGCTGGCAGGGCCTTCCCGTCGTGGCCTCGCTTGCTCCTTTCCGCACATTGAAGCTGCTATGGGGCCCCAATATTCTGCAAGGAGTTGCCCAGGTGTTTTGATGTTTTGCCATCCTTGTGGGTGGCTTCTCTCATGTCCCTGCATGGGGAGCTGGAGCTGACAGAGGGAGCTCATCCACGCTCTCCCTGGATTCCAACCTCTGACCTGCCAGTCTTCAGGTCCTGCCGGCACAAGGCTTTAACCCAATGCACCTCCGGGGGGCTCCTATTTTATTATATGATTATTACTATATTATTATTATTTTATTATTATACTCAGTTGTGCAACTGTTCAATTATAATTATAATTATCGTCGTCATCTTGTGATTTTTAGGAATTTCTTAATGTTTTTACAAAAAATTAAAAGGAAACCACAAGAGGTATCCCCTTGCATTTCTGCACAACGAGACAACACAAGCAGGACATCCATCCTGCAAAGTTTCGTAAAGATTTGTTCATCTATTGATTTTTAGGAATTTTTTAAAAGCAATAATAAAATATTATTTTAAAGGTGTATGTTACATTGAAAAGGATGGGGAGGAAGGATTGGGGGACGGATGCTCTCCTCCTTTTCAAGCAGGGTTTCTGCTCCCCGGGGCCCCCATTGACAAACCGGGGCACTTTCAACCTTTTCTCTGGTGCAAAAAAAAAGAGAAGAAGGAGAAGAAAAAAAACGATTCCAGACCCGGAGCAAACCTGAGGCAAGGAGAAGGCAGCCTTTGATACGGCATTAAATCGTGATGGAAGAGACCTTGCCGCGGGGCATCGTCATCATCGGAGGAAGAGAGGGAGGGGACCGGTGCAAAAAAAGACGAAGGGAATGCGTGTCTGTCTGTCTGTCTGTCTGCGGAGGAAGGTGACTCTCCATCCCATTTGCCAGCAAGGCAACCTCTTCCTTCCCAGACTATTGTGTGTCCCACAGGTTCGCAAACAGGGATGTGTTATTGCCCCAACTCTATTCTCCATCTTCATTGCTATGATACTTCACCTTGTTGACGAGAAGCTTCCCAGCGGAGTGGAAATCATCTATCGGACAGATGGCAAGCTGTTTAATCTCAGCCGACTGAAAGCCAAAACCAAGGATACAACAACATCTGTTATAGAACTCCAGTATGCTGATGATAATGTCATCTGTGCGCATTCAGAAGAAGATCTACAAGCCACTCTAAACACCTTCGCAGAAGCATACACGAAGCTTGGCCCGTCACTCTACATTGAGAAAACCAAAGTGCTGTTCCAGAAGACACCAGCCATCCCCTCCCCAATGCCAGAGATACAGCTTAATGGTGTAACATTAGAAAATGTGGACCATTTCCGCTCCCTTGGCAGCCACCTCTCCACCAAAGTCAACATCGATGCCGAAATACAACACCGCCTGAGCTCTGCAAGTGCAGCATTTTCCCGAATGAAGCAGAGAGTGTTTGAGGCACAGAGATATCCGTAGGGAGACCAAGGTGCTTGTCTATAAAGCTATTGTCCTCCCAACCCTGCTCTATGCCTGTGAGACGTGGACTGTCTACAGACGTCACATGCAACTCCTGGAACGATTCCATCAGCCCTGCCTCTGAAAAATCCTGCAAATCTCTTGGGAAGACAAGCGGACAAACGTCAGCGTGCTGGAAGAAGCAAAGACCACCAGCATTGAAGCAATGGTCCTCTGCCATCAACTCCGCTGGACTGGTCATGTTGTCTGGATCCCCGACCACCGTCTCCCAAAGCAGTTGCTCTACTCCAAACTCAAGAACGGAAAAAGGAATGTTGGTGGACAGGAAAAGAGATTCCAAGATGGGCTCAAAGCCAACCTTAAAAACTCTGGCATAGACACTGAGAACTGGGAAGCCCTGACCCTTGAGCGCTCCAGCTGGAGGTCAGCTGTGACCAGCAGTGCTGCAGAATTCGAGGAGGCACGAGTGGAGGACGAAAGAGAGAAATGTGCCAGGAAGAAGGTGCGTCAAGCCAACCCCGACCGGGACCGCCTTCCACCTGGAAACCAATGCCCCCACTGCGGAAGAAGATGCGGGTCAAGAATAGGGCTCCACAGCCACCTACAGACCCATCAAGGAAAACCATCTCACTCGTCCAACGAGGGATCGCCTAAGAAGTAAGTATTGTGTGTCCTTTAATGCAGGCCTGGGCCAATTTGGGCCCTCCTTCCAGGTGTTTTGGACTCCGACTCCCACCATTCCTAACAGCCTCAGGCCCCTTTCTTTCCCCGCTCAGCCGCTTAAGCATCTCTTTCATGAGGACCGGCTCCTTTAAAGGCACCAGACCCTCTGAAAACCACGTAAAACTACAACTCTCTGCTTTCCCTAGCCTTGAACCATGGCCTTGAAAGTGCTGTAAAACCACATTAGTGAAGTAAAGGTTTCCCCTAACATTAAGTCTAGTTGTGTCTGACTCTTGGGGTTGGTGCTCATCTCCATTTCTAAGCCGAAGAGCCGGCGTTGTCCATAGACACCTCCAAGGTCATGTGGCCAGCATGACTGCATGGAGTGCCCTTACCTTCCCACCGGAGTTCATGTGTGTATGTATGTGTGTATATATGTGTGTGTGTGTATGCGTGTATAAATGGCTGGCATGACTGCATGGAGTGCCATTACCTTCCCGCCGGAGCGGTACCTATTGATCTACTCACATTTGTATGTTTTCGAACTGCTTAGTTGGCAGAAGCTGGGGCTAACAGCAGGAGCTCACCCTGCTCCCCAGATCCGAACCTGTGACCTTTCAGTTAGCAAGTTCAGCAGCTCAGCGGTTTAACCCACTGCGCTGCCAGGGGTTCATGTTTTCGAACTGCTAGGTCGGCAGAAGCTGGGACTAACAGCGGGAGCTCACCCTGCTCCCCAGATTAGAACCTCTGACCTTTCAGTTAGCAAGTTCAGCAGCTCAGCAGTTTAACCCACTGCGCCGCCAGGGTTTCATGTTTTCGAACTGCTAGGTTGGCAGAAGCTGGGGCTAACAGCAGGAGCTAACCTCGCTCCCCAGATTCGAACCTACCACCTTTCAGTCAGAAAGTTCAGCAGCTCAGCAGCTTAACCCACTGTGTATATATATATATATCTGTCTGTATGTGCGTGTTTGGGTGTATAAATGGCTGGCATGACTGCATGGAGCGCTGTTACCTTCCTGCCAGAGCGGTACCTATTGATCTACTCACATTTGCAGGTTTTCGAACTGCTAGATTTGCAGAAGCTGGGGCTAACAGTGGGAGCTCACCTCGCTCCCCAGATTCAAACTTGTGACCTTTTGGTCAGCAAGTTCAGCAGCTCAGCAGTTTAACCCACTGTTCCACCAGGGACTCATGTGTGTATATATACGTGTGTGTGTATGTGGGTGTATAAATGGCTGGCATGACTGCATGGAACGCTGTTACCTTCACGCTGGAGCAGTACCTGCTGATCTTCTCACATTTGCATGTTTTCGAACTGCTAGGTTGGCAGAAGCTGGGGCTAACAGCGGGAGCTCACCCCGCTCCCCAGATTCAAACCTACGACCTTTTAGTCAGCAAGTTCAGCAGCTCAGCAGTTTAACCCACTGTGCCACCAGGGGCTCGTGTGTGTATGTATGTGTGTGTATATATATGTGTGTGTATGTGGGTTCAGCAGCTCAGCGGTTTAACCCGCTGCGCCACCGGGGGCTCCATAGTACATAGTCCCATAGTACCTCCATAGTCATTATTTATTGATCTCCCCATTATGTTAACCTGACGAGTTGACCTTTAGCGTTCAGATCCAAGGATGCCGGACTTCGCATGGCAATGAGGTGCCTCCAGGTCAAAGAAGGGGTCCCATTGTCATTTCCCAATTGGTTCTATCACTCCTGCCCTTGACACACCTTTGTGCTCTTGGTCTCCCAGGTAGAATTGACGGGGAGCAGCGTCTTCGATTACGTCCATCCCGGAGATCATTTGGAAGTCGCCGAACAGTTGGGTTTGAAGGCGCCGTCTGATCCGTGCCGCCCGAGCCGCCACAAAACCGCCGCCACCTCTTCCTCTGGGCTGCCTGAGGCCTCCGAATCAGGTATGACTCAATTGAAGCACACTCAGTTGTACAAGTGTTCAATAATAAGAATTATTATTATCATCATATCATCATCATCTTATTATTATTATTATTATTATTATTATTATTATTATTATTATTATTTCGTGTCAGGAGTGACTTGAGAAACTGCAAGTCGCTTCTGGTGTGAGAGAATTGGCCGTCTGCAAGGAGTTGCCCAGGGGATGCCCGGGTGTTTTGATGTTTTTACACTCCTTGCTGGAGGCTTCTCTCATGTCCCTGCATGGGAAGCTGGAGCTGACAGAGGGAGCTCACCCACGCTCAACCCAGATTCGAAACTCTAACCTGCCGGTCTTCAGTCCTGCCGGCACAAGGGTTTAACCCATTGCTCTACTGGGGCCTCCTATTTTAATATATGACTAGTGTGGGGACCCGGCGCTGCCCGGGTTATTTGAGGAAGGCATTATGTGCCAAGGTTGGTCTTTATCAGTTATTTATGTGGCTTGCAGTGGTCTCAGGAAGTTAGTGAATGTACTGCGAGTCCCATCGTCCATGGTCCATCCTCCTCGAAACTGCACCAGGATGTGGGTCATGGGGGCTCTGTGTGCCAAGTTTGGTCTTGATCAGTCACTGAATGAGGGTCGCAGTGGTCTCAGAAAGCGAGCAAAGGTACTACAAGTCCCATCATCCGTGGTCCATCCTCCTCGAAACTGCAGCTGGATGTAGAGTGGGTCATGGGGGCTCTGTGTGCCAAGTTTGGTCTTGATCAGTCATTGGATGAGAGTCTCAGCCGTCTCGGAAACTGAGTGGAGACACTTCAAGTCCCATCATCCGTGGTCCATCCTCCTCCAATCTGTAGTAGGATGTAGAGTGGGTCATGGGGGTTCTGTGTGCCAAGTTTGGTCTTTATCGGTCTTTGTTGGGGACCACAGTGGTCTGTGGGAACCAAAGGGTTTGAAAGTACTACAAATCCCATCATCCTTTGTCCATCGTCCCCCAAACCTCACCAAGACGTAAAGGGGGTCATGGGGGTTATGTGTGCCAAGTGTGATCCAGGTCCATCCCTCAGACCCTTTCCTCTCCTCTCGTTGCCACCTCAGAATGTTGGAATGTTGAAGCTGGCCAATCAGAGAGCATATGCAAATTGTACCGCAGTGGCAACCAATCAGATAGCTGCCACAGCCTCATGCCTTTACCTCCCCTCATTCTCTCACCTTAGAATGTTGGAATGTTGAAGCTGGCCAATCAGAGAGCATATGCAAATTGTACCGTAGTGGCAACCAATCAGATAGCTGCCACAGCCTCGGGCTTTTACCTCCCCTCTCTCTGCCACCTCAGAATGTTGGAATGTTGAGGCTGGCAAATCAGAGAGCATATGCAAATTACACCACAGTGGCAGCCAATCAGAACGCTGCCACATACATACACCGTCCTCCTGCCCTCCCTCCCTCCTGCCTGCCGCATACAAACATTCTCTTTTATTGTATAGATAGATACAGATTATAGATATATAGATATAGATTATTACTATATTATTATTTTATTATACTCAGTTGTGTAACTGTTCAATTATCATCATCATATTATCATCATAATATTTTTATTATTTTATTATTTTATTATTATTATTTTATTATACTCAGTCCCTCCTTACTCAAGGAGTATGTCTCATCTGCACTTTTGGGGTGTGTTTTACAGTCGCATAGGACCTAACTTCCAAGTCTCTGCTTTTCCTGAAACTTTGAATCATAGAATCAAAGAGTTGGAAGAGACCTCATGGGCCATCCAGTCCAACCCCATTCTGCCAAGAAGCAGGAACATTGCATTCAAATCACCTCTGACAGATGGCCATCCAGCCTCTGTTTAAAAGCTTCCAAAGAAGGAGCCTCCACCACACTCCGGGGCAGAGAGTTCCACTGCTGAACGGCTCTCACAGTTAGGAAGTTCTTCCTCATGTTCAGATGGAATCTCCTTTCTTGTAGTTTGGAGCCATTGTTCCGCGTCCTAGTCTCCAGGGAAGCAGAAAACAAGCTTGCTCCCTCCTCCCTGTGGCTTCCTCTCACATATTTATACATGGCTATCATATCTCCTCTCAGCCTTCTCTTCTTCAGGCTAAACATGCCCAGCTCCTTAAGCCGCTCCTCATAGGGCTTGTTCTCCAGACCCTTGATCATTGGAGTCGCCCTCCTCTGGACACATTCCAGCTTGTCAATATCTCTCTTGAATTGTGGTGCCCAGAATTGGACACAATATTCCAGGTGTGGTCTAACCAAAGCGGAATAGAGCATGGGGAGCATGACTTCCCTGGATCTAGACACTATGCTCCTCTTGATGCAGGCCAAAATCCCATTGGCTTTTTTTGCCGCCACATCACATTCCTGGCTCATGTTTAACTTGTTGTCCACGAGGACTCCAAGATCTTTTTCACACATACTGCTCTCGAGCCAGGCGTCACCCATTCTGTATCTTTGCATTTCGTTTTTCCTGCCAAAGTGGAGTATCTTGCATTTGTCCCTGTTGAACTTCATTTTGTTAGCTTTGGCCCATCTCTCTAATCTGTCAAGATCGTTTTGAATCCTGCTCCTGTCCTCTGGAGTATTGGCTCTCCCTCCCAATTTGGTGTCGTACTGCAAACTTGATGGTCCTGCCTTCTAGCCCTTCATCTAAGTCATTGGCATCTCCTTGGGGTCTTCATCATCCCTTCCTCTTCCTCCCGTCCAGATGAGCAAATATAAGGCGAGGAATGAAAGGGAATTTCGGCTCGACCCTTCCTTTCCTCTCATTTGAGATCCCGGCCTGCCTGGCTTTTATCTGGGGGACTTGTGAAAGATTTATGTCCGACGCTCCGGCAGTGAAAGGGAATGCAAGATAAGCATTGTGCCCGGAGCGTGCTCGGCTAAGAACACAGGGAAATACTTGGAGGAAGCCGGATGGACCTCAGGAAAGGGTCAGGATCTTCCGTTCCAGCATCCATAGGCCATCCCTTTGGGAGACCTACAAACGGCATACGAAGGGAGCTGACCCCTTACTTTTGGGGGGATTTGGCGCGTTTGAGTAACGGGAGGTGTAGACTGCTTCTGGGCATGGAAGCGCTCTTTAACCCTTTTGTAAACAAGGGACAAGTCAAAGGATCATGAGATGAGAATGAGGCTGGATGGCCATCTGTTTAAAATGCTTTGATTGTGCCTTTCCTGCATGGAAGACAGGAGGGGGCTGGACTAGATGGCCTTTGAGGTCCCTTCTAACACTAGGACTCTATTGCTCCTGACACAAAAATACTAGGATTCTACTGCTCCTGACACAAATTATTGTTGTTGTTGTTGTTGTTGTTGTTGTTGTTGTTGTTGTTGTTATTATTATTATTATTATTATTATTAAGCAGAGGCTGGATAGCCATCTGCCGGTGGTGCTTTGATTGTGCCTTTCCTGCATGGAACACCAGATGGGGCTGGACTAGATGGCTTTTGGGGTCTCTTCTAACACTAGGACTCTATTGCTCCTGAAACAAATTATTATTATTATTATTATTATTATTATTATTATTATTATTATTATTAAGCAGAGGTTGGATAGCCATCTGCCGGAGGTGCTTTGATTGTGCCTTTCCTGCATGGAAGACAGGAGGGGGCTGGACTAGATGGCCTTTGGGGTCCCTTCTAACACTAGGACTCTATTGCTCCTGAAACAAATTATTATTATTATTACTATTATTATTATTATTATTATTATTATTATTATTATTATTATTATTAAGGAGAGGCTGGATAGCCTTCTAACACTAGGATTCTATTGCTCCTGATACAATAATAATAACAATAATAATAATAATAATAATTATTATTATTATTAATTAAGCAGAGGCTGGATGGCCATCTGCTGGGCATGTTTTGATTGTGAGATGCTGGTTGCGGAAACAGAGTGTCGACTTCTTCTGTGACGGCTTCAGAAAACTTGTTCATCATTGGCAGAAATGTATCCAATTGTCTGGTGATTATGTGGAAAAGTGAATAGTGGTCGTTAAAGAGCACATTCTAAGGATTATTTCTGTGTTTGATTTATTAAAATATTCCCATCCAAAACCAATGTGGAGGCATTACTTTTCATTCAACCCTTGTATGTATCCACTTTGGGTCTTGATAAAGGAGGGTACCAATAAATATGATGAAGATGATGATGATCTTCTTCTTAGGCGATCCCTCGTTGTAGGAGTAGGATAGTCTTCCAGAATCAGTGTACTAGCGGTGGGTCCGTAGGTGACTGTGAAGCCCTATTCTTGACCTGCATGTTCTCCAGCAGTCTGTCTGTCTATCTATCTATCTATCTATCTATCTATCTATCTATCTATCTATCTATCTATCTATCGTATATCTCTATCTACATATGTCTGATCTATCTATCTTTCTATCTCTGTCTGTCTGTCTATCTCCATATGCCTCTATCTATCTACTGTATATATCTCTCTACATATGTCTGATCTATCTATCTATCTATCTATCTATCTATCTATCTATCTATCTTTGTTTATCTATCTACTGTATCTCTCTATCTACATATGTCTGGTCTATCTATCTATCTATCTATCTATCTATCATCTATCTATCTATCTATCTATCTATCTATCTATCTATCTATCTATCTATCTATCTATCTATCTATATCCCTATCTATCTATCTATCTATCTATCTATCTATCTATCTATCTATCTATCTATCTATCTATCTCTATCTCTATCTCTATCTCTATCTATCTATCTATCTATCTATCTATCTATCTATCTATCTATCTATCTATCTATCTATCTATATCTCTATCTATATCTCTATCTATCTATCTATCTATCTATCTATCTACTGTATACATCTATCTACATATGTCTGATCTATGTGAAGACATTGATTTCCAGGTGGAAAGCAGTCCCAGTCGGGTTGGCTTGATGCACCTTCCTCTTGGCACATTTCTCTCTTTCGCCCTCCATTCATGCCTCTTCAAATTCTGCAGCACTGTTGGTCACAGCTGGCCTCCAACTGGAGCGCTCAAGGGCCAGAGCTTCCCAATTCTCAGTGTCTATGCCAGAGTTTTTAAGGTTGGCTTTGAGCCCATTTACCTGTCCTCCAACATTAAATTTCCCATTCGTGAGTTCGGAGTAGAGCAACTGCTTTGGGAGACAATGGTCGGGCATTTGGACAGCATGGCCAGTCCAGTGGAATTGACGGCGGAGGACCATCGCTTCAGTGCTGGTGGTCTTTGCTTCTTCCAGCATGCTGTCCTTTGTCTGTCTGTCTTCCCAAGAGATTTGCAGGATTTTCCGGAGGCAGCGCTGATGAAATCATCATGACGTCTGGGTGCAATATACTTACTTACTTACTTAGGTGATCCCTTGTAGCCTGAAGATGATGGTCCTCCAAGTTTAGTATCTTGGCGGTTGGTTTGTAGGTAGCAGTGGAGCCCTATTCTTTATCTGCATGTTCTTCTGCAGTGAAGGCATTGGTTTCCAGGTGGAAGTCGGTTCCGTTCAGGGTTGGCTCGACACACCTTCCTCTTCGCATGTTTCTCTCACACCAAAAGCTACTTGCAGTTTCTCAAGTTGCTCCTGACATGGACAAAAAAATCCTTGGTCAGGAGTGCTTGCCAAGGCTCAACCTCGTCTTTCTCCCTTTCCATCCCATCTTGCAGGGATGAAAGCAGGGATATGGAGAAAAAAATGGGGTTTCTTTCTCCAAATTATGATATGTCATTTGCTTTCGGGTCCTAGATCTCCCCGGTCCAAGGTTTGCAGAACCTGATGCCTTGGAGCGCTCCTTCTTCGTCCGCCTGAAGTCCACCTTGACCAAGAGAGGACTCCATGTCAAAACATCGGGATATAAGGTAAGAGGAGTGGAGTACCATACGTTTCTCCCTCTTGTTGGTTGCACATGGAGCTGTCCATTCCTATCGTTCAACCAAATGCAACGAAGGTGTCCCTCTTCCTAAATACCTGTCCCTACCTGTGGTGCCTCCTCCTCATTTTCTCAGGTGATCCACGTCACAGGGCGTCTTCGCCCCCGCCTGCCGTCCTTCTCACATTCGCACTCTGGTCCGCGCACAATGGGCCTGGTGGCGCTGGGACACACGCTGCCTCCTTCCACCCTCAGCGAGGTGCGCATCGAGTGCCACATGTTCGTCTTCCGGGTCAACATGGACCTCCAGATTGTCTACTGCGAGAGCAGGTGGGTTGTGGCCTCCACGCCGATTGCAACTTTAGAGATCAGGCATGGGCCAACTTGGGGCCCCCAGGTGTTTTGGACTCCAACTCCCACAATGCCTAATAGCCTACTGGCTCTTAGGAATTGTGGGAGTCAGAGTCCAAAACACCTGGAAGGCCAGAGTTGGCCCATGCCTGGTTTAGAAGCAAGTAGTATAAGTTGGATGCCACCTTAGATTTACGTATTGAGCTGTTAGCCAAAAAGCCCAATTTCATTCTCTCATACACACACACACACACACATATATATACAAAACAAAAGGTGTTGTTCCAGTATTTTCTTGTACCAAAATAAGTTTGCAGTTATGTTTTAAAATGTTTGCTCTTTCCAAACCTTCTTTGTACATTTTACAAAATACTCAGGCAATAGCAGTAAGGGACGAAGAAAGGAGCAAGTGGGGGGAGGGAGGAGAGAGGGAGGAAAGAAGGAAGGAAGGAAGGAGAGGGAGGGAAGGAAAGGAGGGAGGGGAAGGAAGGGGGGAGGGAAGGAAGGAAGAAGAAGGAAGGAAGAAGAGGAAGGGAAGGGAGGAGGGAGGAGGGAAGGGAAGGGAAGGGAAGGGGAAGGAAGGGAAGGGAAGGGGAAGGAAGGGAAGGGAAGGGAAGGGAAGGGAAGGGAAGGGAAGGAAGGGAAGGGAAGGGAAGGGAAGGGAAGGAAGGGAAGGAGGAAAAGGAAAGAGGAAGGAAGGAGGAGGGAAGAGAGGAAGGAAGGAAAGAAGGGGAAGGGAAAGAAAAAGAGAGGAAAGAAGGGAGGAGGAGGGAAAGGAAGGAGGGAAGGAAAGAAGGAAGGAAAGAAAGAAAGAAGTGAAGGAAGGAAGGAGGAGAAGGAAAGGGGGAAGGAAGGAGGGAGGAGGAGGAGGAAAGAGGAAGAGGAGGGAAGAAAGGAGGGAGGGAGGGGAGTAGGGAAGGGGGAGGGAGGGAAGAGGAAGGAGGAAAGGAGGAAGGAAGGAAGGAAAGGAAGGAAGGAAGGAAGGAAGGAAAGAAGAAGGAAGAGAAGAGAAGGGAAGGGAGGAAAGGAGGAAGAAAAGAAGAGAGAGAGGAAGAAGGAAGGAAGGAAGGAAGGAAGGAAGGAAGGAGGAAGGAAGGAAGGAAGGAAGGAAGAGAGGAAGAGAAAGGAGAGGAGGAAGGAAGGGAGGGAGGGAGAGAAAGAAGGAGAGAAGGAAAGGAGGAAAGAAGAGAAATAAAGAAGGAAGAGAAGGAAGGAAGGAAGGAAGGAAGGAAGGAAGGAAGGAAGGAAGGAAGGAAGGAAGAAGGGAAGAAGGAAAGAAGCAAGGGAGGAAGGGAAGAAGAAGGAAGGGAAGGAAAAATGAAGAGAAAAGGAAGGAAGAATGGGAAGGAGGGAGGGAGGAAGGAAAGAAGGAGGGAAGGAGAGAAAGGAGGTGGGAAGGGAGGGAGGGAGGAAAAAAGATAGGAAGGAAAAGAAAGAGGGAAGGAAGGAAAGAAAGAAGGAGGAAAGGAATGAAAGATGGAAGGAGGGTGGGAAAAAAGGAAATAAAGAAGGAGGGTGGGTCAAAAGGAAGACAGAAAGGAGGGAAGGAAGTAATGAAGGATTACAGTCCTTCCTTCCCTCTTTCTTTCCTTCACTCCTTTAAGGTTCCATGAGAAAGAAAAGTCTTCTGAAGGGTTCCATGGCCAAAAAGGTTTGGAAACTGCTGGCCTTCAGTGCGATTCTGTGGTCTACTTTTCTATAGTTTCTTTAATTTTTTTATGGGATTGTTGGGTTAGAAGCGAACCTCCATCGATCTCTCCCAATGACTTTTCCAATTCCCTTCCTCTTTTTATTTCAGGATCAGCAACTATATGGATTTGTGTTCCTCGGAGCTGGTGGGCAAAAGCTGTTACCGCTTCATTCATGGCGAGGACGTGGAAGCCATCCGCCAAAGCCACCTGGACTGTAGGTTGCCCTCCTCATCATGTTCATAACCTTTCATAGTGGGGTCGATGATGATGATGATGGTGGTGACGATGATTATTATGATGATGATGTTGCCTTTTGCCTTCCAGTGTTGACCAAGGGGCAAGTGGTGACCCAGTATTACCGCTGGCTGCAGAAGAACGGCGGCTTCGTTTGGATCCAGTCCTGTGCCACCATTTCGGTCAACGTCAAGAACCCAAGTGAGAAGAACATGGTTTGGGTGAACTACATCCTCAGGTGAGGCCGTTCATTTCTTTTCCATAGGCTTCGTACTTTATTTATATTTATCGTGTCAGTGCAACTAGTCGATTATATTACATTTCTAACAGAACAAAGCAAAAAGAACAGACAAAATACAGAATTGTGAGTCTGGTCATTGATTAGATGTCCTTTGACCAGTATCTGGCCACTTGGAGTGCTTCTGGTGTTGCTGCAAGAAGGTCCTCCATTGTGCATGTGGCAGGGCTCAGGTTGCATTGCAACAGGTGGTCAGTGGTTTGCTCCTTTCCACTCCTTTCCACTTTGTGGCCCCATTTCTGAAGGTTGGCTCTGCATCTCGTGGTGCCAGAGCACAGTCTGTTCAGCACCTTCTAAGTCGCCCAGTCCTCTGTGTGCCCAGGAGGGAGTCTCTCATTTGGTATCAGCCGTTGGTTGTGGTTCTGGGTTTGAGCCTGCCACTTTTGGACTCTCGCTTGCTGAGGTGTTCCGGCGAGTGTCTCCGTAGATCTTAGAAAACTATTTCTAGATTTAAGTCGTTGACATGCTGGCTGATACCCAAACAGGGGATGAGCTGGAGATGTCTCTGCCTTGGTCCTTTCACTATTGGCTGCCACTTCCCGGCGGATGTCAGGTGGTGCAATACCGGCTAAGCAGTGTAATTTCTCCAGTGGTGTAGGGCGCAGACATGCCGTGATAATGCGGCATGTCTCATTAAGAGCCACATCCACTGTTTTAGCGTGGTGAGATGTGTTCCACACTGGGCATGCGTACTCAGCAGCAGAGTAGCACAGCGCAGATACATCTTCACTGTATCTGGTTGTGATCCCCAGGTTGTGCCAGTCATCTTTCGTATGATATTGTTTCTAGCACCCACTTTTTGCTTGATGTTCAGGCAGTGCTTCTTGTAGGTAAGAGCACGGTCCAGAGAGACTCCCAGGTATTTGGGTGCGCTGCAATGCTCCAGTGGGATTCCTTCCCAGGTGATCTTCAGAGCTCGGGATGCTTGTCTGTTCTTGGGATGAAATGCACATGTCTGTGTTTTAGATGGGTTGGGGATCAGCTGGTTTTCCCTGTAATAGACAGTGAGAGCACCTAGAGCTTCAGAAAGCTTCTGTTCTACCATCTCAAAGCTCCCTGCTTGAGCGGTGATGGCACAATCGTCAGCATAGATGAAGCTCTCTGTCCCTTCTGACAGTGGCTGGTCATTTGTGTAGATGTTGAACATGGATGGAGCAAGCACGCTTCCCTGAGACAGGCTGTTCTTCTGTTTCCGCCATCTGCATCTCTGGCCCTGGAACTCAACAAAGAAGCTCCTGTTTTGTAGCAGGTTTCCTATGAGGCGGGTGAGGTGGTCGTCCTTTGTGATATTATACATTTTTCTCAGGAGGAGGCGGTGGTTCACAGTATCATAGGCTACTGACAGGTCTATGAAGATAGCTCCTGTGATCTGCTGTGATCCGGTAGGCTGTTAGGAATTGTGGGAGTTGAAGTCCAAAACACCTGGAGGGTGGACCACCACGTTGGCCCATGCCTGATCTATCCTATAGAATTAATGCAGATTATTATTGCAAAATCTTTTCCCCCTTTTCCCCCCCCCCCCCCCCCCCAAAAGAGATAAAAGGAATCCATGAATGGCCGGCTGCAGATGGTTATTAATGACCGCCTTCCCCTTTTTTCCCCCTTCCCCTCCCCAAAGCGAAAGGGGGAAAAAAAGCATTATCATGCTAATCCTGTAAGCAATTGCCGATACTAATGTATGATTTGTCAGGGTGATTAGTATTTTAGTTAATTAGTGCTGTAATTAGAGGCTAATTAACTTTCTTACAGCTCTTCCCTGCAACGGGAAAGGCAAGCAATGCTGGCGAAATGGGGCTGGCATGCTCTTCCCATTTGTCCCCGGCCTCTCCCTTCGCAAATAGGTCCGGGTCCTGCGGACTTTGAGGTTGAACCCAACAGAAACCAGGTTTGAAAGCATTCACTCCAATCTAGAACTGGGTGCAGGTAATGGTGCAAAACCTTGGGCGGATGGGTCAAGGTGCATCTGATGGGTAGTTGTCATTCGCCAAGGTCTTTAGCCTTCTCTGCCAAAGAAATCCCAGGAATCCATAGCCTCTATTTCTATCCTCATCTAGCCGTCTCTCCATATCTATCTATCTATCTATCTATCTATCTATCTATCTATCTATCTATCTATCTATCTTATATCTCTATCTACATATGTCTGATCTATCTATCTTTCATCTCCATATGCCTCTGTCTATCTATCTATCATCTATCTATCTATCTATCTATCTATCTATCTATCTATCTATCTATCTCTTTATGCCTCTATCTACCTATCTATCTAATCTATCTAATTGATATCTCTTATCTATTTATTTATCTGTCTATCTCCATATTCATCTATCTATCTCTTTATGCCTCTATCTATCTACATATGTCTGATCTATCTATCTGTCTATCTGCCTATCTATCTATCTGTCTGTCTGTCTGTCTGTCTGTCTGTCTGTCTGTCTATCTCCATATGCCTCTATCTATGCATCCATCCATCTATTTATCTACTGTATATCTCTATCTACATATGCCTGATCTATCTATCTATCTATCTATCTATCTATCTATCTATCTATCTATCTATCTATCTATCTATCTATCTATCATCTATCTATCTATCTATCTATCTATCTATCTATCTATCTATCTATCTCTTTATGCCTCTATCTACCTATCTATCTAATCTATCTAATTGATATCTCTTATCTATTTATTTATCTGTCTATCTCCATATTCATCTATCTCTTTATGCATCTATCTATCTACATATGTCTGATCTATCTATCTGTCTATCTGCCTATCTATCTATCTGTCTGTCTGTCTGTCTATCTCCATATGCCTCTATCTATGCATCCATCCATTTATTTATCTACTGTATATCTCTATCTACATATGCCTGATCTATCTATCTATCTATCCATCTATCATCTATCTATCTATCTATCTATCTATCTATCTATCTATCTATCTATCTATCTCTTTATGCCTCTAGATTTATGCCTAATCTATCTAATCGATATCTCTTATCTATTTATTTATCTGTCTTATCTCCATATTCATCTACCTATCTCTTTATGCCTCTATCTATCTATCTATATCTAACTCCATATGTGTATATATCATTTTCATATGCCTCTGTCTCTCTATCTACATGTGTCTTATCTATTTATCATCTCCATATACTTCTATCTCTCTACATATATCTCTGTCTCCATATCTTATCTATATCTCTATCATCTCCATATGCCTCTGTCTGTCTGTCTGTCTGTCTGTCTATCTAGATATACCTCAATCTATCTCCATCTACATCTGTCTCTCTGTCTCTCTATCTCTATCTATCTATCTCTATCTATCTATCTATCTATCTATCTATCTATCTATCTATCTATACATCAATGAAATTCCATGGGAGAAAAAAATCTAGTTTTATATACAGAGGCTGGATGCCCATCTGTCGGGAGGACTTTGATTGTGTTTTCCTGCCTGGCAGAATGGGAATGGACCGTTTGGCTTATGGGATCTTCCAACTTTTACGCAGTTATGCTAATGCTTTTATGTTTATCTCTCTACCTTCGGGAGAAATAAAGCAGGGTATAAATAATAGTAGTAGTAATAATAATAATAATAATAATAATAATAATAATAATAATGGGTAGGGGTTTCCCCCTGACCTTAAGTCCAGTCGTGTCTGACTCTAGGGGTTGGTGCTCATCTCCATTTCTAAGCCGAAGAGCCGGTGTTGTCCATAGACACCTCCAAGGTCATGTGTCTGGCATTGACTGCATGGAACACTGTTACCTTCCAGCTGGAGCGGTACCTATTGATCTACTCACATTTGCATGTTTTCGAACTGCTAGGTTGGCAGAAGCTGGGGCTGACAGCGGAAGCTTACACCGCTCCCTGGATTCGAACCTGCAACCTTTCAGTCAACAAGCTTAGCAGCTCAGCGGTTTAACCCACTGTGCCACCGGGGGCTCTAATAACAACAACAACGACAACGACAACAACAAAGTCTCTGGCACAAGCCAGTTAAGGTGGTCCCATTGGTGATTGGCACACTGGGTGCAGTGCCTAAAGACCTTGGCCTGCACTTAAACACAATTGGCACTGACAAAATTACCTGCAGAAAGCCACCTTACTGGGATCTGCAATCATTATTTGCCAATACATCACACAGTCCTAGGACTTGGGAAGTGTCCGACGTGTGATCCAATACAACAGCCAGCAGAGTGATCTTGTCTGCTGTGGACTCATCTTGTTGTGTTTCAAACCACAACAACAACAACTCTCTTTCTCCCCCTTCTTTTCATTTCTGGAGGTTTTTAAGCAGAGACTAGATGATCGTCTGTTGGGAATGCTTTGATGGTGGCATTCGATACATCACACAGACACTTGGGAAGTGTCCGATGTGTGATCCACTACAACAGCCAGTAGAGTGTCTGCTGTGGACTCATCTTGTGTTTCAAATAATAACAACAACTCTTTTTCTCCCCCTTCTTTTCATCTCTGGACGTTTTTAAGCAGAGGCTGGATGGCTGTCTGTTGGGAGTGTTTTGATGGTGGCATTTGGGTGGTATTTGGGGGGGTCCCAATTCTAACACCCATGTCTTTGTTATCCAAATGCGACTCCTTGCATCCCAGGCTTTCCAAAGAGATTGGGACCCAAATTCCGTGGCGGCTGTTTGCAAAAACGCAGGCGAAAGAGACGCTTCCTTGGGCCGCTTCCAACTTTGCTGGTTTGACAATAAAAGCCCCCCCCCCTTCCCCAAGCCAACCCTGCTGTCTTCTGGATGTGCCTCCCACTCCCCTTTCTCCCTCCTTCTTTCTTCCTAAACACGGGAGGGTTTTGCGATGCCAATCTGTCCTTGCTTGTTCTTGGACAATGAAGTGCCAATGGCCTTTTGCGTCTGTGCGGCTGATTCCAGGCTGCAGGTGGCCGGCTGTGTCAGCTTGCATTCAAGTTGCGCTTTCGGCAATTCTTTCGGGAAGGAAGGAAGGAGGGGTCCGGGACTATTTTCGTCCTTTTCTCGGCAGCATCCATCGCCACGCTCCCAATCAGGGATGCATTCCTTCCTCCGGGACAATCTGGTGCCATCGTGTGGCGGCACAAAAAAGGCTTCCGAAAAGTCCCAAGATTCGTCGGAAAGGATCTCTCTCTCTCTCTCTCTATGTATGCAAACACACATATACACAAATATATACACACACATATACACACACAAAACACATATACACAGACTGGGCCACAGCAATGCATGGCAGGGGGTGGCTAGTATCTATATAAATAAAGATGTAATGTTTAACTCAAAAACCACTGGGCAAATTGACACCAAATTTGGACACAAGACACCTATCAGGTCAACGGGTGACCATCACTCATAAAAACACACAGAATGGACTTTAGAACCCCCCAGAATAAACCATATACATTCATATACACATGCACACATACATACAGACACACACACATATATATATGCAAACACACACAAATATACACATACACACACATATATACACACATATATGCATACATATAAGCACACAATATACATATACGCATACATTCATTTACATATACACATACATACACATGCACATATACATATAGGCACACACACATATATATGAAGCACACACAAATATACACATATATACACACACACACATATATATACATGCATATACACAAGCACACACATATACACATACATTCATATACATATACACATGCACACATACATACAGACACACACATGTATATATGCAAGCACACACAAATATACAATATACACGCATACATATTCACCTACACATATACATATACACATACATACACACACACATATATATATGCATATACACAAGCACACACATATACACAATATATATATACACATACATCCATACACACATGCACACATACATACAGACACACACATGTATATATGCAAGCACACACAAATATACATACATATATATTTACCTACACACATATACATATACACATACATACACACACACACACACATATATGCATATACACAAGCACATACATAGATGCAAGCACACACAAATATACACATATACACGCACATGCATATTCACCTACACACATATACATATACACATACATACACACATATATGCATATACACAAGCACACACATATACACAATATATACACATATAAACACAGAAATACACAAATATATACACACGTACACACACACACACACATATATATATATATACACAGACATATATATATATATACACACAAACACACATATATACACATACACACAAATATACACAAATATATGCATACACAAAACACATATGCACAGACTGGGCCACAGCAACGCGTGGCCAGGGACAGCTAGTAACATAAATAGACAGACACAGAGGCAATTTCACATTCCAGCTTTTCCGGCTTCGTGAGAGTATGCTCGATTCCGGGAGAGCTGCCGCTTCACCGTCCACTTGTGGCACCGAGTCCTTGATGGAGTACTTCCTCATTCTTATGCATGCTGCTGGAAGGTTTTATGGTGTCGTAAATTAGTTAAATTAGCCTCCCCGCATAAAGCGGAACCAAAATGTCCTACTTGACAGATTAAACTGGCTTTCAGGTTGCATAGGTCAACAGCAGGCTAGACTGTTAATGGTCGGGAGCTCAGTCCAACCCGGGCTGGTTTCGAACTCATGACCTCTCGGTCAGTAGTGATTTAATGCAGCTGGCTACTGACTAGCTGCACCAAAGCCTGGTTTATTATCTAAGTAAATCTCTATGTCAGGCATTGGGCAAACTTTGGCCCTCCAGGTGTTTTGGACTTCAACTTGCACAATTCCTAACAGCCTACCGGCTGTTAGGAATTGTGCGAGTTGAAGTCCAAAACACCTGGAGGGCCAAAGTTTGCCCAATTCCTGCTGTAGGCAAATAAGAGCTGTCTTGGAATTGCTTTCTAATCTTTTTCCCTTCTTTGTTTATATTTTTATGTATTTCTAGCAAGCCCGAACATAAGAACACTGTGCTGGATGTCTTCCAAATGTCCGGGATCCCTGCAAAGCCGGCCGATAAAGCTGAAGCCGGGACGGATTTCAAAGGTAAATATACCCAAATTCCATATTTAAAGGACCCAATCTCTCTCTTTCTAGGGAAGCTAACATGCCCATTATATATATATTCCATGGTCGGTGGAGTTCAGAATGCTCTTTGATTGTAGGTGAACTGTAAATCCCAGCAACTACAACTCCCCAATGTCAAGGTCTATTTTTCCCCAAACTCCACCAGTGTTAACATTTGGACATATGAGTATTGAGATCCATCATTGTTTGAGTCCACAGTGCTCTCTGGATGTAGGTGAACTACAACTCCCATACTCAAGGTCGATACCCCCCAAACCCTTCCAGTATTTTCTGTTGGTCATAGGAGTTCCGTGTGCCAAGTTTGGTTCAATTCCATCGTTGGTGGGGTTCAGAATGCTCTTTGATTGTAGATGAACTATGAATCCCAGAAACTACCACTCTCAAATGTCAAGGCTATTTTCCCCAAACTCCACCAGTGTTCACATTTGGGCATATTGGGTATTTGTGCCAAGTTTGGTCCAGATGCATCATTGTTTGAGTCCACAGTGCTCTCTGGATGTAGATGAACTACAACTCCCATACTCAAGGTTGATCACTAGCAAACCCTTTCCAGTGTTTTCTGTTTGTCATGGGAGTTCTGTGTGCCAAGTTTGGTTCAATTCCATGGTTGGTGGAGTTCATAATGCTCTTTGATTGTAGGTGAACTATAAATCCCAGCAACTAAAACTCCCAAATGACAAAATCAATCACCCCATCCCCACCAGTATAATATAATATAATGTAATATATTCTATATACATATAAAATTTATAATATTATAATGTAATACAATATACTACTACTAATAATAATAATATGATATTATAATTATATATTTTATATTACATGCAATATTACTAATAATATCACAATATAATGGTATACTACAATATAGTAATATATAATGCTGATATTGTACTATGTTAATAATATAATATATTGTATGTATATATATCTTATAATATATTATATTATTATATTATATTATTAGCATAGTATATATATCTTGTAAGCCGCTCTGAGTCCCCTTCGGGGTGAGAATGAGAAGGGCGGCATATAAATTTAAATAAATAAATAAATAAATATTCAAATTTGGGCGTATCAGGTATTTGTGCCAAATTTGGTCCAGTGAATGAAAATACATCCTTCATTTGAGATATTTATATTACAATTCATAACAGTAGCAAAATTACAGTGATGAAATAGCAATGAAAATAATAGCTATGCTGAGTCCCCCTTGTGGGAAGAAGGGCGGGATATAAATATATATTAAATAAATAAACAAACAAACAAACAAATGTATAGTTGGGGGACACCACAACATGAGGAACTCTATTAAGGGGTCACGGCATTAGGAAGGTTGAGAAACACTTGTTTTAAATGCTTGCAGGTCCCAGTAGGTTGGCCTTTTGCAGCTGGCAGATGGTAATTTTGTCAGCGGTGATTGTGTTTAAGTGCAGACCAAGGTCTTTAGGCACTGCACCCAGTGTGCTGATCACCACTGGGACCACCTTTACTGGCTTGTGCCAGAGTCATTGTTGTTGTTGTTGTGGCTTGTGCCAGAGTCTTTGCTGTTGTTTTTGTTGTTGTAGTAATTATTATTATTATTATTATTATTATTATTATTTATTTATTATTATTATTTATTATTATTAGAGCCCCCAGTGGCGCAGTGGGTTAAACCACTGAGCTGCTAAGCTTGTTGCCCAAAAGGTCGCAGGTTCGAATCCAGGGAGCGGGGTGAGCTCCCACGGTTAGCCCCAGCTTCTGCCAACCTAGCAGTTCGAAAACATGCAAATGTGAGTAGATCAATAGGTACCGCTCCAACTGGAAGGTAAGGGCACTCCCTGCAGTCATGCTGGCCACATGACCTTGGAGGTGTCTATGGACAGCGTGAGCTTCCGCTGTCAGCCCCAGCTTCTGCCAACCTAGCAGTTCACAAAACAATCAAATGTGAGTAGATCAATAGGTACCGCTCCGGCGGGAAGGTAAGGGCACTCCCTGCAGTCATGCTGACCACATGACCTTGGAGGTGTCTATGGACAGCGTGAGCTTCCGCTGTCAGCCCCAGCTTCTGCCAACTTAGCAGTTCGAAAACAAGCAAATGTGAGTAGATCAATAGGTACTGCACGATGGGCTAGGTGTTGGCTTCCAGAATACCAAAACCCTTACATGCTCGAATCCCATTGTATACAATGGCATCCTTTCTATAAAATGGCAACATCAAGGTTTGCTTTTGGGATTTTTTCCCCAAAATATTTTCAAGCCATGGTTGAATCTGTGGATGTTGGATTCGTGGATATAGAGGGCCAACTATATTCACATTTACCATGACCACAGATGTTCCTTAAACCCAGCTAAATAGTGTTCTATGCTGTTGGTAAGGGAGGTTGTTACAGGATGATGTCATTTGTAAACAAACCAAACAAGATGATGCCCGCCAAAATTTCTGGGGAATTAATTGCCTGCTATAGAAACTACTTCGCTACCTCTTTGTTCAGCTGTATATGAGACTTTTCCAAGTGGGTTTTCCCCATCAAAACCGGGAAACCCTTGCCATGCCGGCGTTCCCGCTGTGCCAAAAACCGCTTCAGTGCCTCCCTGCTTTTCTGCATCGCTGTGCCTTGTGGTCATGATTATGAGCTGCGCTGTTGGCAGGAAGCCGCTCCGAACCGACATGTAAAATGTTCCCTAGGTCTCGTCGGGGGTGGATAAATATTTCATTTGACAAAATAAAACCTGTCTGCCTCCTAAGTGTTTCAATTCCCGCTGCCTCACCTGTTGAATTTACCTGCTCTTTTTTTAAAAATCTCGGTTTTGCAGACAGCGGCTTTGCAAAGGAGAGCAGCCAAGGGAAGCTTTACAAAGCCGGCACGCTGGAGGAGACTTACCCGAGGGATCGGGCGGACGTCGGAGCCGATCGCCGTGTAATGGAAACCGATTCCAGTGGTGCGGAAATGAACTACCGCTCGGAAGAGGCCTCGGAAGGTAGCGATGCGGAAGAGCCGCCGGGAAAACGGATCAAGTTGGAATTCCAGCCGGAGAGCCCGCCGAAAGAAGACGACGATTCGTTGCCCAGCTCCGAGGATTCGGACAGCGGCAGCGAATCCGAGTTGGACCTCCTCCCGCAGCCGAGAGGGGCTTTGGTCAAGAAGGTCAACGGCTGCAAGGCCGGACGGCGGAGAAACCTCCACTCCGGCCGCCCCAGCACTTCGGAATTCGCCTCGGTCATCCAGACCCAGAAGAGTTTGGCCCCGAAGGCCAACCCAGCACTTAGCATCAAGTCCGAGCAGGTCCCCGGTGCCAAAGGGACCCCCTGGACCTGTCCTACTACCCCGAAAGGTGGTTCGTACACTGTGAACAAAGCACTTCACCTGGAGAGGCCCGCTCCAAGGCACGCCTCGTCCCATTTGTACGTCTCCATCCCGGACTCGGTGCTCACTCCGCCCGAGATGGAGAGCGGAGTGGCGAAAGGGCAGTTTGGGACCTCTCCCCGGTCCGTTGCAACAAATGCCCCTTCCTCGGCGGAGACCCTCTCGCCCCCGCTCTCGGGCTCCCCCTGCGAGGAGCGGGTCGTCTCCACCCCGTTCACGCCGCTGGTCTACCCGGCGGAGATGGAGGTCCTCCAGCGCTTCCACGCCAACAACGTGGTGGTGCCGCTGGTCCACCAGCTTGGCGGCCCACACGGCGGCACGGCGGGCTCCCAGGGCCTTTACGCCACCAGCACCATCCGGTACGCCCCCGCCGACATGACGCTAGCCATGCAGAGCAACGTGTTGCCACCGGCCCACCCGCTCAGCCTCATGGACCTGGGCGGTGCGGAGGCCAAGACCTCCCGGGAACTCATGTACCACCACTTGCAGCGGCTAAACATGGTGGCACCCTTTGGGAACTCGATTTCAGGGGGGACGTTCGCGGCCACGGACTCCCTGTTTTCCGCACTGCCCTTTTCAGTGGCCAGTGGTGGCCTCCACGGCACTTCTGCTCTGGAACGCAAGGAGGACTGAGGATTTGGTGTCTCTGCCATACTCAAACTCTAGCGGTAAAAAGTTCTCGCACGAGCTTTGGTACGACAGCTCAGCACCGTGCCCATGTGTTCTGGAAACCAGGAGGCAAAATCTTTTGTTCTCAAAACAAAATCCGTGTATCTATCTATCTTCTCACTCCACTTTCTCACTCCTGATCCTTGCTTCACAGATCCCCAAACTCCTCAAATACTGCTGCTGCTGTTTAAAGTGATGTGATATATGGAGTTCAGGGTTTAGCCCAGTGTAAACGAAACGTGGGATCGGTTGCAACCTTTCCGGGAAAGTTGCGAAGCAGAGGAAAGTGTTTGTTGTCTGTCCTTGTACTGCTACAGGTCCAACTATTCCTCCAGTACTGCCATTGAGGAAACTGGCCACAGAGGGGTGGATAGGGGGGCATTATGTTCAAGCCTTTGGGATGCCTATGCTAACTTGTCCTGCTAGCCCAATTATAATACACAGATTGTAAACACAAAGCAGGGCGCCAGTACCCCTGACTCTTCTCGTCCCGTGCGCTTACACCAGCACTTAAATGTTTGCTTCTGTTCAGTCTACGTTGCACTGTTCCTTGCAATATGCCCCGGGATGAGATCCTACATTGAGTATGGCGTGACGACAAATAAGGTGGATGTTGTAAATGTGTGTGAATGGGCCCTTGTTCCGCTTCCTTTCCGGTAACATCTCTCCCTTGGACTGGCACTTTTCCTCTTCTGAAAGTAGGGATTAGTCGCTCATCCTTTTATCCTCTGGTCGGAAAGATAAATGACGGAGGGGGGTGACTTACTGCCTTTGCCTGCAACACATGCTTGGAATTCTCTCTAGTGAAATGTCCATGTCAGAATAATAATGTTATTTTTCTGGAAGTATTTCTGGAAGTGAGAGGATGCTGTGTAGGTGAAATAGGAACTGAAAATAGACGAACGGGTCACAGCCAAGGCCTCTCTAGTCCACTAATTGGCCAGGCAGGTGCTTCTGGGAAGCTACAAATAGGACACAAAGGGCATCATCACACCTTCCTATTCATGCTCCCTTGAGTCTTATCTCTTCCTTCCTATCATCTTTATCTTCCTTTCTTATCTTCCTTGCTGCCTTCCTTTATCCCTATCTTCCTTCCTTCCTCCTTTCCTTTCCTCCCTCCTTTTTCCCTTCTTTCTTTCCTTCCTTATCTTCCATCCTTCCTATCATCTTTATCTTCCTTTCTTATCTTCCTTCCCGCCTTCCTTCCTTCCTATATCCCTATCTTCCTTCCTTCCTCCTTTCCTTTCCTCCCTCCTTTTTCCCTTCTTTCTTTCCTTCCTTATCTATCTTCCTTTCTTATCTTCCTTCCCACCTTCCTTCCTTCCTATATCCCTATCTTTCTTCCTTTCCTCCCTCCTTTTTCCCTTCTTTCTTTCCATCTTCCTATCATCCTGATCTTCCTTCCTTATCTTTATCTTCCTTCCTTCCTTTTATCCTTATTTGCCTTTCTTATCTTCCTTCTTTCCTGCCTTCCCTCTTATATCCCTATCTTCCTTCTTTCCTTTCCTTTCTTCATTTTTCATTCATTTTCCTTCCCTTCCCTCCTTCATACTTATCACCCTTTCCTTTGTCTTCCTCCATCTGGCCTTTTCTCGGAAGTCACCATAGCTTATCCTTTGTATCTACATACTTCCATATATATACGGTATATATTTTACAGAGGGAGTTCCTGAGCTGGAGAGCGGTCATGGAGCAGACCTTCTCTCTTTCTCGTTCCCACCAGCCACACTTGAGACAGGGGTAGATCCATGGCGTTCCTTGCATCTACCCAGCTTGTAATTGTTGAAACATGGAAGCCTGACCTTATATCCTAGATCCGTGATGGTGAACCTATGACACGCGTGTCAGCACTGACACGCATGGCTATTTTTGATGACACGCAGCCACATACAGAGAAATACACCTTATAAGAGCCAATCTAATTCCATCCTTAAATTTGTAAAAGGCTCTACAAATTTAACATCTGCACGTTTGAGCATTGTTCACTCCATAACTCAGCATGGAATATACATTTTTTTCTTATTTAAACTATAAATATTGCAAAATTATGGGGGGTTTTTTCTCGAAGTTGACACCCCACCCAAGTTATGCTAAGGTTTTTGGCAAATTTTGACACACCAATCTCAAAAGGTTGCCCATCACTGTCCTAGATGTTGGAGAGGGAACAAACACCTGCTTCCATTATCGTGCCCTATTTGTGAGCTTCTCAAAAATTGCTCCTGTTTCTCCTACTTTTGTGCAGATTCATATCCGCTTTCGAAAAAGAGAAGTCTGTGTCCTCCCATCCCATCCTCATCCTCCTTGGCACAAGAAGAAAGGGGTGAAATGACAGCACTTAAAAGGGGTCCTTATTTTTTAAATGTACGCCATAATGTTTAGCACTTATTCAAAACCAAGAATTGTACAATTCGGTGGGGAACGGACGGAGCAGCACTTGAGATGCCGCCGTGGTCTTTATTTTCTGTATAATCGGTCGCTAAAGATCCGTGTGCGTGTATGTGTGTGTACATTTTATTTCCCTACTGTTCTCATTGGATAGATGAATGTAGTTCCCACTGTTCACTTGTTGTCGTTTTGCTGCTTCTTTACGGCAATCTGGGATTTCAGAGGAAATAAAGTGTAAACGGACTCAACTCCTGCCTTCCGAACATATGTCGGGAGGCCTTGATAAATAATAATTTGTGGCTTTAAAGGCACCGGCTGGAATTTATGTCTCTATATGTGGATTCGCGTCAATTGGAAACAGAATTGGACATCGGTATTCTTCAAGGGATGTCTGTGATGTTGCTACGTAAGGAAACCCATGAAATAAATGTGCATAATACCCTCATACACATCTCAGTTCAATAGCAGCACTCCAGCCAAGTGTATGTAACGTTACATAACACAGACCATAATGTTCAAGCAATAAAGTAGTGTCCTGATTAAGGGTTGACATATATCAATTTTTCAATTAATTATCAAGAGATATTTTTTTTAAAATAATCCCACACCTCTTGAACACATATGCAAATCCATTAAACCAAAATATACATTTTTGAGACATACACCATGAGCCTTGTTGGCCTTCCTTTCAATGCTCAGGGACTGTTTGGAAACCCCAAGGAGACAAATGTTACTTGGCCATAATAGGAACCGGAACTGAACAATTTGCCTTTTCTTTGGAAACCCCAAGAAGACAAATGTTAATTGGCCATAATAGGAACCGGAACTGAACAATTTGCCTTTTCTTTCCAGATTTAGCTACTATTTTTTTTCCACTGGGTTGAATTGAAGATGAGAGTGATGCAGAAAAGCCAGTGCATTTTGGGTTGTTGTAGGTTTTTTTCGGGCTATATGGCCATGGTCTAGAGGCATTCTCTCCTGACGTTTCACCTG